AATTGATCAAAAAAAAAAATTGAGAAGGATGTTAGTCATAGAATTAGAGTAGGATGGGCAAAATGGAGGGGTGCATTCAAAGCCTTATGTGATATGAAAATACCACTTGGACAAAAAGGAAAAATTTATAAAATAGTTACAAAGCCAGTAATATTGCATGGATCAGTGTCAGACAAACAAGAAACAACATGTCTAACAAATAAGCGTGCTAAAATGTGAATGTTGAGATAGATGAATGGGAAAACTAGAAAATATAGGACTAGAAAGAAGTTATTCGAAGAAACCTAGGAGTAGCTCCAACAGGTAAAAAATGAGGGATGGTAGAATAAGATGATTTGGGCATGTAGACAGCAGACCATCTACAAAACCATTGAGAAGTGACCCATTACAAGTTAAAAGGACTAGAATAGTTAAGAGAATACTAAAAAGGACATGGGCTGAAGAAATGAGGAATTATTGTTTATAGATTGGGGTTGCCCAGGCCTGGGCTGTAATTTGTAAATTTTCTTCTTGTGGCTGTTTTTTGTAGTTCTTGTTTTCCCTCCTACTTTGTACTTTGCAGGCCTGCTGTTCTCTGTTGAGCAGTTAGGCATTCTCTATTAATGAAATATATTCTGTTATCTATCAAAAAAAGCAATAAGGACTTATAAGGACCCACAATTTAACAATGCATATGGCACTGAACAGAATGAAATGGTGGAAGATGGAACAGGATTCATGTAGCCAACCCCATATAGTTGGGACTGCTTGCCAAAAAAAAAAAAACATTTTAGTATAAATAAAAATTCTTATATGAAACTTGAAGATATAAGTGTGTAATAGAGCTGATCCATATAAGTGTGGTACATTGGTTGAAATCCTTGGACCTATTCACAGACTTTACCTTGGATGATCTATTGAGAAGCTGGAAAGAGATAGCAAATTCTTCCAGATTAAGAGGGTCATAATTCCTTTTTGGATTCCCCCCCCCCCCGCTAGTTACATAAAACTGAATTTTGATGGCAGTAGCATTGGTAATCCAGGACAGTCAAGTATTGGGGGAGTTTTTGGAAATGAGGAAGGGAATGCTTTAGCTCTGTTCTCTGGCCCAATTGGAGAGGGTGACTCTCTTAGGGCTGAGATATCTGCGGCCATGGAGGGAATCCAAAGAGCAAGAGACTTGAATATTAGGAGGCTGATTATTGAAGATGATTTGGTGATGGTGGAAAAATTCGAAAGGAAACTAGGACTTCCTTTAGGTGCAAATCCAAAGGAAAGTAGGTTCTGGAACCCGGTGGTGGAAAGATTCGAAAAAAGATTGGCAACTTGGAAGAGAAACTATATTTCCAAGGAGGGTAGAGTTACTTTGATTAAAGCAACTTTAGCCAACTTGCCTTTATACTTCCTGTCAATCTTTAGAATTCCTAAAAGGGAGGCAAATAGGTTGGAAAAACTAATGAGGGATTTCTTATGAAAGCCTGGTGAAGAGAAAAAATATCACTTGATTAGGTGGGAGGTGGTGTGTCGGAGTAAGGAAGAAGGAGGTCTAGGTTTAGGGAACGTGGTGAGCAAGAATGAGGCTCTTTTAAGTAAGTGGCATTGGAAGTGGCCCCTGGAGAGGGAGAGGTTGTGGCATGAAATAGTGAAAAGTATCCATGGTTGTTCCGAATCAAGTTGGGATGCGGGAGTATCCTGAAGGGCTTTGCTCGCAACACCTTGGAAGGCTATCTCTAGTATTCTCCCTAAGTTCCTCAGTTTTGTAAGGTACGATGCTTGCTCTGGAAACTCCATTCTTTTTTGGGAAGATACTTGGGTGAGCTCTCAACCCCTAAAAGATCGTTTTCCTTCTCTCTATTCCATCTCCCTCTTTAAAAAGAAACTCATTTCTTGGTTCCTTCCCCCCCCCCCCGGTTTGCCCTTTGGCCTTAAATTGGGATTTTGGGTTTCGAAGAGGGTTAAGGGATGAGTAATCTCTTTACGTTTCAGAGCTGTTGTTGCTTCTAGATTCGGTGTGTTTGGACCCCCTATCCCGGATAAAAGAGTCTGGTCCCTAACCACGGTTGGCTCATTCACTTGTGCTTCTTTCTTTAAAGCCCTTTGCTTCAACCCCTCCTCCCAGGTCTTTCCCGTTAAAGAGGTATGGTCAAGACCAATTCCCCCCAAAATAGTTGTGTTCTGTTGGAAAGCCTATTATGGTAAGATCAGTACTGTGGAAAACTTGCAAAAGAATAAACCTTTTATGTGCTTGTCCCCTAATTGGTGCTCTCTGTGTAAAGTGAGGGGTGAGGATTGTAACCATTTGTTGATATCATGCTCTTTCGCTACCAATATTTGGTACTGGGTTGTTTCTTTATTTGGGTGCAGGTGGAATTTGCCCTCTGAAGTAAAGCTGGTGTTCACTCCGACTGCCTTTGGGAGATTGAAAAAAAGAGGGAAGCTAATGTGGAAATGTATCAGAGCCGCTACATTGTGGACTATATGGGAGGAGAGAAATGCAAGAATATTTCAAGAACAGGAAAGAAATCTTGCTGAAATCAAAGAATGCATATTGACAAGGAATATCTCATGGTTAAAATCTTCACACTTGATGGCAGATTACTCCTTTGATGACTTAAGGAGAAATTGGGCTGCAGTGGCTGCTACAGTCTCCACCAAGATCAAATCACAAGCTGAATGGATTCCCCCCCCCCCTTGGATGGTGTGGTAAAATTGAACTTTGATGGTAGCTGCCAAGGTAACCCAGGACCATCGGGAATAGGTGGGATTCTGAGAGACAAAGACAGCAATATATTGTCTCTATTCTCAGGACCAGTGGGTGAAGGTGATTCAGTAAGGGCAGAGCTACAAGCAGTGGTACAAGGTATACAGATGGCTAGTCAAATTGGAGTGACCAATCTGCTAGTAGAAGGGGATTCCAAGGTAGTAATAGGCTGGCTAATCAGCCCAGAAACAGCCTGTTGGGGCTACAGGGATTTGTTAAAGAAAGTTAAATGGATGACAAGGAATATGACTGTCAGGTTTCAATGGGTCAGAAGATCAGCAAATGCAATGGCTGATTCTTTGGCCAAGCAAGGGGTGTCATGGGGAGATCTATTTTGGGCTACTTTGTAATTGTGTCTCAGGCCTGGGCAGTTTTGGTGTATACAGTTCAATCCTAGGGGGGGGTAACATCTCATAGGCTGATTGTATTATTGATATTTGATTTAATAAAAATACTTTCATTCATCAAAAAAAAAAAGAAGATGATGGAGATGGTTAAAGGAAGATAAGCTTGGAATGTGAAATTGCAGCAATGAAAGCAAAAGGTTTAAATGGCTGGCAAAGGATATTGAGATAAAATACAGCTGGGTGAAGAGAACTGCAAATTTCTTTGCTGATGGGCTAGCTAAACAAGGGGTAAATAAGGATTCTTTTTTTTGGGCTTACTTCTAATTCTGTTCTTTTCTTTGCTTGTGGGGGAGCTAAGACAGTTTACCTCCCCCTGTTTGTATGTAACCTATTCTTAACTGAAATTCAATGAAGCTTTCTGTTATTGAAAAAAAAAAAAAAACTTGAAGCTATGATTCTTTAGTAAAACACAACATTCAAGCCACTTTAGTAATAAATACAATATATATATGTATGTATGTATGTATGTATGTAGGTATGTATGTATGTATGTATCCAATCAAATTGGATCATATCTAGTTCTGTCAACAGGTCAGGTCTGGTCTGGGCCAGGGTAAACCTGGTCACAAACTGATAAATAAATGTGCAGAACCAGTTCTGAACGAGACCCTATAGGGTCTGTAAATCTGTAATAGCAAACACAGAACCAACTGAATTATTACCCAGGACCATTGGCTCTGAGCCTCTGACCCAACAAGACCCAATTATGATTGACAGGTTTACCTTTTTTTTTTGGAGATAGGGTAACTATTTCATTCAGCAAAAAGAGAAGGTACATGAGAGAATGTACGCAAAAACACAGGGCTTTACAACAAAAAACAGAAGCCCTTTCACACATCAGGAAATCTATCAGCACAAAAGAAGTCCTCTCAGAACCTGGTTAGCTAAAGAACCCAATTGACAGCTTTACTTTTAACCTGTAATTTGACAACAAACCTACTTATTTGTTAAATTGACACATTGGATGTCATAATATGATAACACTGTAGGTATATCATGAGAAAATATGTATTAGAGTGGAGGCATCTTTGTAATATGCTGCTAACATGTATACATAATTATATGCATATACATATACATATAGTCAGTTCAGGTATTAATCAGTTCATAACAACCCAAGTTAACCCCGATCCAATTAAAATTGGAACAAAAAATCAAAACCCAGTACTGACCCAAGTATAACCGAAAAATGTAATGCAGACGCAGACCCTACATAATTGGATCGGTTCAGTTCTGTAAGGTCTGCCCCAATATATTGACAACATTAATCATATCACATCAGAATATAAGTGGATTAATATCAAATCCAATTATAAAGGATCAAATTTGGGTCACCCTTAACCAAATCAAATTTGAATTCGAATTCAGAGAAATGGATACCATTTGCAGCCCTAGATCTCCCCTCTCTATTCTTTCTTCTATTTCATTCTTCTCTTTTAATCTCCTATTTTCTACAATTTTCTCTACTGCAATTTCTACAATCCCCTATTATCTTCTCTAATTCAAGAAGTCTTTTCAGTTTAATAATACTATAATTTCCTAATTTCTAAGTTTCACTGATAGGAAGACACCCTTAAAGATATTAGATTTCCCATCATAAGGAACGAGCCATAATGTTGTTATGTTCTATTTGTGATACTCTTGGTTTGGAGTCCAGTCCTGGATCAATTGAAATTCCTTTATGGCTCAATTTTGTGGTATAAGTTTGAACCAGACACTTGTAAGCCCATGCAAGACCACCAAAGAATAAAAAATGAAATAATAAAACCAAAAGACTCTGATAATGTAGGAAAGCACAGAAGCCATTGCATATCAGAGTTCATTCTAATAGTGGGAACTCATTTAAAGATTACCTCTGATTGGGAACAGATTTCTTCAATGTTGATGCCTCTTTGTTCTGCCAGAAAGAGTAAAAAGGGATTAAGAAAGCTAAGCAATGATGTTGTAATTGGTAAACATAGATTTGTCTCAATTAAGAAGATTCATTGCCTAAGATAACATCATAATTCCTTTCTGCCAAAAAAGCTCTTTAAGCAGTAAGAGAATAGGAATATATACCGATATTCGTTCCTTAGCCTCTGCAAGCATGATTAGATCCTTAATCACCAGCTTTTGTGGATTAATTTCCTCATCTGGAGTTTCAAGATAAACCTTGTCCACTAGAAAATTTGAGGTAGGAATGTAAGAATTTTTACATTCATAAAAAGCCATCAAGTTCAATAAACTCAAAAAGACCAGATACTGCAATCACCTTGTCTTCTCTTCCGCCTGGTAGAATGAGAGAACTTCTTTTTTGGTTGTTCTTTATTTGATGGATCCGATCCTTCAGATACCTTTTTATGCCTACGAACTGGTTTTTCATTTTCAGTTGTAGGTTTCTTCATTTTCTTCATTATCCCCCTTCTTGAGAATGTATTTTCTCCTCTATACTCATCATCCTCTTCATCATTATTGTCCTCTTCATCCACTATAGAATCATTAGAATGTTCAAAAGGAAGGTTGTCATCTTCTATTTCCTCAGAATCACGAACAACTCTCTTTCTTAGCTTCCTTGAAGATTTAGTAGTTTCATTCTCCTCATTTGCTGCTGATATAGGTGAAGGTTCTTCGAAGTTCTGGGATTGTGTCTTTTTGACTGTTTGTGTACATACTTTTGAAGATTTTCTTTTTCTAGTCTGGGAAACCCATTCAATAGAATAGGAAGATGATACTATCAGGTTGACAAGACAAAATAGGAATAACTTGATTAAAGCCAATAAAACAAATCAAATAAACAAATAGGTGCAAAACATACTCCAAGGGCTACCTCTTTTGTTGATGTTCCAGTGATGGCTTGTGAATCCATTTCTTTTCCAGTGACTTCAGCACCTAAGCCAGGTACCTCAGGAAGGGGAGCTGTCTCTTCGGTGACTGGAAACTCGGAAGGATAATCCATTGGTGCAGAATGAGGAACCCTCATAGTTGAGAAATCAAGAAAGCCATCAGATGGAAAGGCAGGAAGAGAGTTGTCATCCAAGTGCTCAATTTCGGAAGATAACATTTGAGATTCTTCTGGAAAAGAAACAAACTCCTCTGCATCAGGATGACTGCTGGGAGTGATGGGGCTTCCACTTTCATTATGAACATTTGACTTAGCTTGGATGTTACCACCATCTGTCAACATTAACTCAATTCACAACATAAAATTGACGGGAGGGGGAGTAAAAGAATGGTCACAAGTTGGATTTTGTTACTCACCGGACATAGTGGTGGCCTCAGAAATAACACCGAGAGTTCCCAGGCCATGGAATGCCACTTGTTCCTGAAAGAAGAAAATATCAACCAAAAGCATCGAAGGAAAAAAAGTAAATACATGACAGGTAGAGCAAATACAAAACTTTACCTCTCTTTTGGATTTCCCATTGTCCACTTGCAGATCCCTATTTCTGTTAAGGAATTCAGTGGATCCTTCAGTTGATGTAGAATTAAATGCCCTGAAGTTTTCTGAGCCAATAGAAGAAAAAACCTCTGAGTCCTGGTAATTGGAAGCATGGAGAATATTGCTCCCAGGAGATGAAATGGTATCACCCTCCTTAGTGGTAATAGGATGTGATGTAAGAGGTCTGCTTCCTGTCTGGTCATCTATCACTGCGTCACTCTGGAACTCATTAGCAGAATTTGCTGCCAATAAAACATAGTAGGAGCTCAAATCAGTGAACAAATGATTTGATAAAATCATCTAACATGTGAAGACGGCTTACTAAAAGGTTTGTTACCCACCAGTTGCACTGGCGGATTGAGAAAGAATATTGTCAAGAAATTCCAGCTCGGAAAGAATATCTGCAGTCTGAAAGTAAAAACTTACTAGAATTATCAGGCAAATGCAAGCTGAGGAAAGAAAAGGGTGTATCTTTACCTCTCCCAATTTTCCAAAACCAGACTGCAAATCTACATGGCTGTTAGAGGCTGCAACTTTTGAGTTGAGAGCATCTCCAGAACCCCCAATCTTTTGGTTTACAGCAATTTGGGATAAAGATTCCACTGGTTCAGAACTAATAGCACCATCAGAGATTGGAAGTCCAGAATGCAAAGTCTTGGCATTGTTTGTCATCCCTTCAGTAATGAGAAGCCTGGAGGAAGAATCTGCTGATGCAATGTTAGATGGTTTTAAGGTGGAAGTGTTCACAGAATAAGGCAAGAAATGACCATCCTCTACAGAATATACAGAAGGAGAAACAGGTTGTGTAACATATGAGAGACCTGTGATACGTGTTACAGGCTTTTCTGTAGTAGAACCATGGAGACTGGAGTCTGCTGTATTTGTAACAGTATTTTCCTTTATTGCATTGGAGGGGATCTTAGTTGATGTGCTGGCTGCTTCCTTTCTAGGACGGGGTTTCGCTTTGGGTTGGAACTTGGCCCCAGCTCGTGCTGCCAATAAAGTGTATCATCAGCACACAACCCATCAATAGAAAAGAGAGCCACAGCTACAAAATGTTGCAGGAGATGGCAATTACTTACCATTACCGCTTGAAGGAAGAATATCAGCAAAAGGATCCAAATCAAAATCCATGTTCTATGCCTAAAAGCAATAAAAAAGTAAGAATATTGGTAGAAATCCGTTTAATCCAGTAGAGAACAAAAAGATGCTTCAAACTAGTCTGTGTTGCACAATCTATCATGAAAAAAGCAACAGAAGCTGCAGCCTGCAAGAACGCCAATAGAAGAGAAGGGGAGAAGGGGGAAGGATGTTCAATACAACAATACCTTGCCCAAATAACATAGAACCACACTCTGGTGTGCAAAACCACATACTTCAACAAAACCTATCCTTCTACAACAACACATTACTGTCAGTTTTCTACAAATAGAGGTGACAAATGGGTGGATTGGGTGTGAGTTGAATACCAACCCGCCCATTATAAATCCTTTTTAGTGGATTGACCCTCACCAAGTATAATGCTCATTTCCTTCCATTTTATCAAAACTGCAACCAGGCCGGCCAACCCATATACCCAAAAAACAATTTTAAGAGAACCACTTTGTTCTTGTTGTTACCATGTGGCATATGCAAGTCAGGTCAACTTGTATACCCAAAAATCATTTTCAAGAACGCCACTTTGCTCTCGTACCTTCCATGTGGTATATGTGGGTCAGGTCGATCCATATGGTCGAAAATCAATTTTAAGATCATTGCTTTGTTCTCATGACTGCCACATGTCATATACAGGTCAGGTTAAGCCATATACCCAAAAATCAATTTTAAGATCGCCGCTTTGTTCTCGTGACTGCCATGTGGCAAATAAGGGTTGAGTTAGCCCATAGACCCAAATATCAATTTCAAGATTGTCGCTTTGTTCTGGTGGCTGCCACAGGCATATATGGGTTGGGTCAACCCATATACCTAAAAATCAATTATAAGATTGCCGCTTTGTTCTCATGGCTGCCACATGGCATATGGGATCGGGACAACTTGTATACATGAAAATTGAAGAAATGCATTAAAAAAATACAGAAAATTGTAGAGAACGCAAAAAAAAAAAATTGCAGGAAAATTACAGAAAATGCAGGAAACTGCAGAAAATGCATGAAATACAAAAAATGCAGAAGATGCAGAAAATGTAGAAAAATGTAGAAAATGCAAAAATATTGCAGAAATAAAAATGCAGGAATTTGCAAATTTTGCAGAAATTTTGCAAAAAAAAAATACAGAAAATGCAGAAAGGTCAAGCAATGACATCTTGATATCGTCCACAAGTATTTAACGTATGTGGCATAAATTATGCCATATTGTCTCCTGGTGAAATTAACTAGTGCATTCAAATTTTATCATGCCAGTAAAATCTCTTCTGGAATCTGAACTTGTAAAATGTGCCATGTATCCTCAACAAAGTTTTCCCTTATCTTTTCTTCTCTTCCTTTCTTGTTCTTTTCTTTCCTTTTCACTTTTTTCTTCTCTTTCTTTTTCTTTCCCTTCCCTTTCTTTTCCTTTTCTTTCCTTTTCTTTTTCTTCTTTTTTCTTTTTTTTTTTGTCTTTTTATATAAGATGTGCACTAGGCGCATGAGGTGCACGCCTCTAGCATGCCTCATGAAAAAAGCGCATGAGGCGTACGCCTCAGAGGTGTCAGCGCCTCTGGCATACACCTCAAGTTGTTTTGGGAGCACCTCGCCTGGAGGCACACCTCCAGGCGTACGCCTCCCACGCCTTTTAAAGCACTGGTGTCAAGCAACCATGCATCAGTAATTGAAAGTTAAAAGGAAGAGGTAATGAAAAATTTACACTTACTTCTGGCACATCATCTTTCAGTTCAACAGGAGCATCCTCGGCCATATCTGTTCTAAATCAAACAAAAGAAAGCAAGAAGAATGAGAAAAACAAAAACAAAACCAAAAAAGGGTATAAAATTAAACAAAATTAACAATGAATTCCCCATGATGGTGAACATTGCAGCATCAATCCACCCCAAAACTGAACTTTTATTGTCTATAAATGAAGCAAGAGAAACATGCAGTGCCCTTGCAGAGTAAAAACCAGTAGAATGCACAAATGGCCATCTTTTTTTTACTCAAAATAGGATGCACAAACAACTTCAAACTTGAAACAGCAATAAATTCAATTGAAAACATAAGATTCTTCTCTAAAGCATGAAGAAAGACCATAACAGCACTAAATTACTTAGAAACAAATAAAAATAAAATCATCATTCATTCTCAATCCACATTATTTATGAGAGTTTGAACCCCATAATTCTAAAGCAAAGAGTGGAGAAACTCCATAGAGAGAGAGAGAGAACAAAACCTCCACACCCAACAGATGTATTTCTACAATACCAATAAAAAAGATGCAGTTCTACAATACTAATTAAAAAGGATGTATTTCTACAATCAGCTAAACTTGGAAAATATTTTGTCTTGATGGGATAACAAAACCTAATTACCTTTAGCCCCCCTTCGTTTACAAATTTCTCACTTACCCGGGTAAGTGCACTTACCAAGGTAAATATTTCCTGGTAACACTTACCCATGTTCTTTTGATTCTCAGGTAAGTAATATAATGACCTTTTTACCCATAAAAAGCTAATTTTGAAAAGGAAAAACTTGTCCCATCATGTTTTATAAACTTTTCCCTCGAGTGGGAAAGTTACTTACCCACCTAGGAGATGGATAAGTTTTACTCGGGTAATGAAGCTCTCTTTACCATGGGGGCCAGTACTTAATGCAAAAAGAACACTACAAAGTTGGTCAATGGGAAAGAGATACCCACTTACCAACTTTCCCCATCTTTATTTGGAATGGTTGGATTTCAATAAAGTTCAGTTCAAAGTTTACATACAGTCTGCCTTAGACCAAGTTAGAAGTTGTAGTTTCATTTAAACCTATAAAGTACAAGAACTCCATGGACTATGAGATATCACTTCTTTGCATTCTTCACATTTGTTTTTATCACTTTCAATCTTCACCTTTCATGAGGCATTACCCATTCCTGCCACTTCACAATCCTTTCACTTATATAATCTTGCCATGGTTAACAATCAACAGAACATATCCCAAGAATTATCCAAAACCAAAAAAGCCCACAACTAATAATTGAGCCTCAAACATCAACTACAAAAATTGAAGCCCCCAAAGACCCAAACAATCAGCTCATATCACCCATTTACCCCCCACCCCAACCCTCATCTAAAGAATCCACAGCCCCATCATCCAACTATTTTAATGCCATTCCTCTTCCATCACCACAACAGACTCAATATTAGTTTTATCAACAGCATAATCCTTTCTATTCTCCAGCTCAATAAAACTTTTTCTTGCAAGCTCATCATATTTTCTAGACAACCATCAATTTATTTAAACACATTGTCGACAACATATGTAACCTTTATCTTCAAAAAACACCATACATAACCTTAATTTGATTGGATGTGGATACGAATAAACTGAATCAGTAATTAGTTATTATGAGACACATAAACCTCCACATTCAGTTTAAGGGATTCTTTTATTTTCTTTTTCCCCCCTTCTTGTCCGGTTCATTCACATACAATTTTTCATACTCGATTCATCTGCCAAATCCCACACTATCATCTACTGTAACTAGAAAAGTAGGATAGTTAAGCAGTAGGTTTCCCTAGAATTCTAGTTGTTGACATCATCATAAAATCCTGGTTAGAAATTATTCTTATACTCTTGAAGTTACTTTAGGAAGCTTTAGCTGTAACCGAACTTCAAACAGCAACTTTTCATCAGCCTAAATTCACACAAACGAACTGCCTCTGAAAGCCCACCCTGAACAGCAAGGTTATTCCACGCTATGGGTCCAACCAAGCCAAACCAAAAGCGCTCTCATAAGAGATAAAATAGTGACATAAGTTGAGGCAAATATGAGTAATTAAACGTGTGAATGTAAGAATAAGTATCACTAGATAAAGTACACCGAGAGTCCCGCGTCCCGCCCACACAAAAGAATCGCATAGCCGCGATTGTAAAGAGATTTAGAGGACAGAATATTGGGTAAAACCAACAAATTTTCAACTGGTTTTGTGCAAGAAAATGAATGACAGATAAAAAAATAAATCAGTCTTTCACTACTTCTCTCCCGCAATTATCTCAAGGAAGAAGAATAACAAATATCATCCAAAAATCCAGATTCCAGATTTAAAAAGTATATATATTAAAAAGGATTGAGCTCTCTGCCAAATCGTTTTTCAATCTTCATTGCCACCGCTAAGCCAAACGTAGAACAAACTAGGGGAAGAAAAAGAAAAAAAACCCCATCTCTATTTAAATTTGTCATTCCCCAAATAACTGTAGCAGGAAAGAAGAAACATTGATTGGGGTAGGAAGAAATAAATACCTTTCGGAGGTGCTGAAGAACAAAGCGGGTTTCAAGCTGAACAAAACACAGAAGACCCCTTGACCGTCTCTGGAACCCGCGAGAGCGGATGTTGGTAATCACTGCATACAAAGAAGAAAAAGGTTGGGGGAATTTGAGGGATACGTCAAAAAGGGTTTTGGGACTTATTCGGTATATTGCAAATTGTCATATGACCAAAATATCCTTCGCATGGGCTGCCTGTGTCAATGGCCATACGGGTAGAAAAGAAAAGGGCAAATTTTTTTAACTACCCTTTATGATTTAATTAATTGACTAATTTTATCCTTATTATTTACAAATTATCTTAAATTATCCCAAATTTTTTAACAATTGATATCATCGAAAACCCCATCCAGTAAAAAGCAAAATATCGAATGTATCCTTTATTATTCCTTAAATTTTCAAAATAAAATCTAATTAATAAAAATTTAAAATAATAAAACCGATTTTTCATTGAGACAASAAGAATGAAAAAAGGGAAGTGGTTCAAAGGATCTTATGGCAACGCAAGACCGAAGAGTGGGAAGAAGATCGAGAGGATCAATGACAAGGTCGAGGTTCCTCACT